GTTAAAGTTTGTCTCAATGCACTGTAGGCAAGTAAACTATATAGTGAAAATCGACGACGACATGTTCGTGAACATGTTTTTGGTGATCAGGTACCTCCTTATGCAAGATCATTACCAGAAGCCGAGGAAAACCATATACTGTGCCGTGTGGGAACGAGAGGTCGTGCAGAGGTCGAAGAAACACAGATGGTTCGTCAGAAAAACCGAGTTTCCACGAAGGTATTATCCACCATACTGCTCAGGTAGCAATATGATCCTGACTGCTGACTCGGTGGTACCCCTGTACACCACTGCGCTACGAACGAAATTCCTCTGGGTTGATGACGTATTCTTGTCAGGCATCGTCGCTCCCAAATGTGGTGTTAAGTTGCACAAGATCAATACGATAACGGATTTACTGTGTAAAGACCATGTAGTGAAGGGCACAATGCACAAGGTCCTTTTTTGCCACGTTTCGTCTAGAATGTACCTACTTGAATGGTTCTGGAAGAATCTGATGCACAACTACTTGTTGACCAGTACATCTTCGCAGGTATGAGGAAAATGCAATCGTCGGTAGCGACCTATTGGTCGTTTCCTTTTCGACCGATCAATGTCAAAGGATCTAACCTTATGACGATGTTTGAAAAACAAGCATTTTATTTTCTATGTCGTGGTGAAACTTCATCTGCTCTTTGCGCCCAAGTATCGCAGATATATTATTTTTTTATAAGAAACGTATTTTTTGCATAAAGTAAAATTCTACAATGTTAGTTTTCAGATAACAATCTGACGCAACATGTTTTCTATTTATGAATTCAGGCTGAATCGTTAATTATCGTTTTTTTCCTCGCACGTTCCTCTGGCGGCAAAAAACTTAGACATACAACGTTGTCAAAATTAGACATAAAATTTTTAATTATGTTGCTGAAATTAAGCGATATCAGTTAGGTCGCATTTACTTTCCCAAATTAGATACTACTTAATACTGGAATAATAAAGTGCACTTCCATTATACAGAGCCCCAAAACTAGAATAGATTGTTGTGGAATGTCTAGGACACATTTATGGGGCAACATTAGTCATACTATTGTACGGTAGGTTGTTTGCAGTTTTAGTGTATTATGGAATTTGGTTAAGTTTTAATGTTTAACGAGTGTTTTTTAAATATGTTATGAAAAAATTTCCTCGTTCGCGTTGCACTATTTGTAATACGTTACTGAATGTTCTTTGAGTGAGAGTAACTTTTATCTGAGTGTACATTTGTCATTTCCTGCTTGCCCCGATCGTAAGCATTTCGAAATCGAGCGAATAATGGTAGAACTAATTTCTGACAATGCTCGTCACCGAATGTCGGATATAATCATTCATTAGACGTTGATCTCTTATTAGATTGGATGCTGTCCTTATGATTCCCAATTTCTGTCTGACGCGTGCAGAAAAAACCTGAAGGCCTTGATGACTGGCAGTTAAATGTTAAAAGTCGCGCGCATTGTAGGTTCCTTTTAACCTTTCACTGTTGACCGATGTTAGTCCTGTAGATCCCGCATTTTTTTAAGGTCCTGATTATTTGAATAAAGGCGACTTAAAGTGAAGAAGCGAGCTCTT